ACTGAACATTGTACCTACAAAAATAAAAATAATTTGCTAACTGGAGATAAAAATTTGGTTATTAGTTTATTGCTAGAAGCTAATTTTTTCTATATCAAGTCATCTTCAGCACTGTTACGCACGGCCACTGAAAAAGGAATCTCTCTACGCTCTCTGTCATATATGAATATTTCTTACGCAGTAGTGAATACGTGATTATTGTGATCAGTTATAATCTGTCCCATTAGATTAGCCAAAAACATATATAAGATAGATACTGACACATATAGAAATGGCAGTATAAGTTTCTCGATATTATTTTCGAATGATACTATCTGAAATGTGAAAAAACAAATTTCATTAGAATTATTAGGCTCTGAAATATATATATCCACCAATGACTGCGCAATAAGTTATGTTCATTCTGAGAGCACTGGTAGGTGATTTATACAGATAAGTGATATTAATGTGAAACACTGATTAAACATCATAATCAAACGTCAATGAGAATACATTCTACTGTAACATAATTGTAAATGTTGTTTCACGATTATTACATTTATTTGCAATATTGCTCATTAAGTTTGTCAATTAAAATGTCACGCGAAATTGCATAAGTATATTAAATACCTGCAACATTACTGCGTTTTTTACAATAGAGTGCATATTTATTATTTTCCTTTTTATGTCATTTTGTATTTGAAATGTTGCACTTGTTATCTGTATGTTATTTATAACAAAAATTTTATTGAAGACTTATAATTTTGACATGTCTGCCTTGTCGATTTTTGTCATTTGCTGAGCAGTATTACTAATAATTTCCAAGTAAATTTCACATATAATTATACGATACAAGTAACTTACTTGATACAAGTTAAGAGTCAAAGAAGTCACAAAACACACTATTAAACAAAAAAACATTATCTCCAATTTTGACATTAAGTGCTTGTTCAATCTTTAAAAACAAAAAAATGTTATTTTTATTATTGCGTGAATATTGTCATCGTAGATACAAACTTTATAGCTTGCCGATAAATGTCGACGGCACAAATTGTGCCCTCAATCATCAAAATCTTATTCTCCAGCGTAATATTTTGTCGACTGTTAATATTTATTGCATCTTTGATACGATAACTGTAAATAAATTAGGTCGTAATTCATCGAGTGATGCAATTTTATTTCAGTTAAAAGTATCTATACACAAATGTTTTTTTAATATGTTTATAGATATAAACTTTTAGTTACATTTCATATTAATAAAGTCATTTCAGTGTTTGTACCTAGAAATTCTAAACATTCCACAGGTATGCTGCAAACATGCAATGATCATTGAACCGATTGCTACCCATACAGTCGCTCCAATGCAAATAGCTGCGTTGATGTGCAATATAATCAAATAAAAATACTTTTCTTGATCAATGAAATATTCCATCGTAATGAGAAAATGGTATCGAGATACGTTCAACGGTAAATCAACATTAATCATATTTGTCCAAAATTGAAATATAATAATAATAAATACTCCACAAACTCCCAATGCTAAAAAAACATTAGAAAGTAATTTTTATTTAAATTGTTGTGTATAACGTTATTCCGTTAATTTATATTTAACCACTCGTATATTATGAAACATTTCGAATTCGGATAAAATCAAATCTCCTGATAGCTAATTATTTTTTTCAATTTGCTGTATAGACACATTTGCTGTTCATGGCTAATGCATATACGTGACAATCCCGAGTCAAAAATATAGACCCTCCGTACCGCCTGATATCGCACATCGCACTCTCCTTGAACGGAATGAACGGATAAATATTTTAATATACTTATTATGTAAGTTATAAAGATATATTCTGACATTAAATATTATTTAAATTTTAATTGAACTTTTTAAATATCTACAACAGCTTTTTTCCAAAGATTCATCTTTCGTGCCATTTTCTGATATTATATTTTTTGTAGGTAAACAGGCGCGTATAGTTGACGCCTTTTTTGTATCTTTTTTATTAAGTAAATTTTTATAGATATAATGCCTTTTTTAAGTATATTAAATACGATTGATACACACGGTCCGACAATAAAGTAGGAGCGAAGAGTCGTCACCGGGGCGGAGTCGTCATTGCAATTATCTCGAAATCTGTATGTTGTGTGAACTTGCTATTAATACTCGCGTAAACGCGGCTTATGGTGCCTACGTAACCAACGGAGTTTAATGAGATTATGTGCCATGATGTGATTCTTATCGAGGCAAACGTGTTTTTGAAGGTCGAAAGTAAAATTTTTTGCGCGTCGAAAATTTGTAATATCTTAAATATTATTGTGTCTCCGAATCTCAAAGTAAGTGATTCTAAATAGTAATGCATGCTGAACACGAATCCAATGAAGTTATTTTATTTTCATTGATTTTTAATATTTTATAAGCGACCAAACTTGAAACTTGTGTCCGGGGTGTGACCAAGCCATATCATGTAGGCTTTTGGCGAAAATCAAAGTCAAAGAAGCAGCAATAGTCGGATTCTGGCAAGGACTTGAATAATATGTGCTGCGTGTGCTCAGAGATGACAGAATAGAGCTGACGAAAAACGAGCGAGCGTAAGACACATAAGTGTGTGTGCTTTTCTTGTAATTATTTTCCGCCATCGTATTTTTAATTAATGTTTCTATTTTTCTATTAAAAAATAATTAATAAAATGTATCTTATTATTTTTTATCAGAATTATGAATTTTCATTTAAAATTCAGTCCGAGAATGGAGTGACGACTCCGCCCCGGCAATTTTGACATTTTAATTTTTGGACCTTTGTTGTTTTCACTCTATACCAGTTGAACAAAGCGACGTAGACAAAAAATGTCCGTATAAATTTTGTAGCCAATGGTTCACTCTTTACAACGGTATACCACATTTTACTAAAATTATTTGTTTTGTTATTAAAAATCGGCACCAAAAAAATAGTTACGACTCCGCCCCGGTCTTCTCTAATGAGACTGATTTTTTTCCGCCTGTTGTAGCGGCCTTCTATCACAGATTATGTTTTATCTTGATCCTCCCCCCACATCAACTCCAATTAGTACGGCCCTGCAATATTTCAGTCTGGAGCTGCTTGACTAGTGAAGACATGCGTGTGCTCCTTGTCACGAAAATGGAATCGCGGATTATTGCACAGCAGTACGCCATCTTTTCATTTTGTTGTAAAACCGAAAAAAACACATAAAAAAGATGGCATATCGCTATGCAATATTCCGCGATTCCATTTTTGTGACAAGGAGCACGCGCATGTCGTTACTAGTCAAGCAGCTTATACTCCAGCCTGAGAGATTGCAGGGCCGTACCAGTTGGAGTTGATGTGGGGGATCAAGATAAAACATGGTCTAAGGGTTTCTATATACATATATTCGACAGTTTGTAGTATACTTGACCACTGTAGTATACTCGCTACGAGTATACTTGCCGCGAGACACACCCTCTTGATAGCAGAATTGTATATAATTGTATATGTATCGCAAACAATCGCAAAAAATGATTTTTTTCTACTTGACAACTTACATATTATATTGACAATGTGTGCCATTATATTTAAAAACAATAAAAATTGTCTTACTTGTAAGTGCAACCGTATAACGTTTTGCAATGCAATCATATTTCTTTATGATAGCAGTTTCATTTTTATCCTTTAATTCGTTACGTACGTACTGGATCTGCATCAGTAAATCCTTCACCTGTCATTTCAGAAACTTTTTATATATTAAAGTAAATTCTTTTATTTAAATGTTCACTAAACGGAGAGAATTATCTTATTTAATGGATATTTCGTAAGCGATTGACTTACACCTTCGATGTGAAAAAGGAACACGTAATATTTTACTATAGAAACAGTGAAGAGGGATACGAAAGACAAAATCTTCATAAAGAGTTCCGAAGTACAATTCAATGTTGCAAACGCAGTCAGCTGTTAATAGACAATTTTATTTAAGTTTACTTATATACTTGATTAATAATATAGCTACAATATATTTAATACAATAGTTATTTGTGTAACAAGTGAGGTAAGATGAAAATTCCCGGGTGCGGAGTTTACGCACGAGCCGAAGGCGAGTGCGGTAACCGCACCCGGGAATTTTCATTTTTACACACAACTTACACTCCCTATTTTATGTTGCAAGTGCCTGGGAAGTGGTCTATCACGCACGCGTAGCGTGCGTAATGGGGCACGTGTTGCATAAATATCATTGCATAACACAGAGTGAGACAAATAAAATGTAGTGAAAACTTGCCATTTGATAACTTATGCATAGTGTGTGATGTAATTAACATGATTTGCAATATTATGATATTTTCTTACCTGAAATGTAATAAACGTTGTGAATATAGCAGATATAAAAATATGTTGAAATCTAGTAAAATTTGATTGCTGAAAGGGCCATAAGCCAATAGTTAACAGTAGAACTTTATTTACTTTAAAATACTGATCTTCTTTACGGATCATATCTCCATGAGGTCCGGAACACAAGTAATTGTGAAGAAGTCCATAACGTACGTTTATCCTCTCTTTTCTCCATCGATCGACTAGACGTTCTCTCTTCTAGTGTAAATTGTAGTGCAAATATCGTAAATTATATAATGGGCCAACAGATCGTTATATCATTAGATACATATAATTTAGAATCATACTTATAATTTAGAATCATTTCTTCGAACTATACCTAAAATAAAGCTATC